TTTAAAAAAAAAAAAAAAAAAAAAAAAAAAAAAAAAAGATTCATAACTGTCTGTAACTACCGTACCCATCACTGCACTATGTATTCATTGGTCATTTGGTCATCATTAACTTCACGCAGACTCTCATACTGGTACATTTTCATCTTTAAATCACTTCTTTCTCTGTTGCTTTCGTATTTCTCCTCTACATGTCACTCCATGATTGCAGCTACAGTGTGCACTCTCAGAACAGTATTACTTGCAGTGTACCCTCGGTGCGGACCGAAATAGGCAAAAGAGCCTTCTCTTACTCTTCTCCTGTAATGTGGAACACCATACAAAAAGATCTGAAGCTCTCGACCTTGACCTCTAAGGGATTTTAAACAACTGATAAGTTCATGGCCAAACCAACAAAGACATCAAAGTTCATGCTCATTAATCCTGGTATAAATCCAACAATGTTGAGTAAGGTCATCTGGATGGTTTATTTTGCTGCTGAGACATTTTGTCTTTCATCCAAATGACTTCTTCAGTCTGAGGATACCACCAAACCAAATTGAATCCCACAAACAGCTCACTCCCATAGTGGAAAAACCTGTTTGCTGGTGATGGCCTCCGGGGCCCACTCTCTCCCCGGTCAACTCTGTATCATTGTTGGATTTATACCTTAATAAGTATGACCTTTGGTGTTTTGAACCACTTTGGCATGGTCTGCCTTAGAGGAGTTGACGAGGGGAGAGGGCGAGCCCCAGAGGCCATCTTGTCACCAGCAAATACAGCCGAATACTCAGCATTATGTTCCTTTATATGCATGTTTATTGGTGTCTGGACCTTATCTTTGGTTTCTGTTTAAAAGAGGTCTCTTATAAGTGAGTCCTTGTGACTCAGTGAGACTAACCTGTATAAATAAAGGTTGAATGAAATGTATATTAATGTTTCTGTTCAGTTTCCTGAGATGACTTCTGTTGTGACTTGGTGCCATATAAATGAACTGAATTGAATTTCTGCTGATGCAGATTTAAAAAAATCCCTAGATGTTCTGGTAATTCATCCACTGCTTGTGTGTTAAGTCAGTTCAATATCTGGTTGTACATCAAGTCAAGGGACAAATTGAGGACAAAAACCCCTTCAAAGGTGGTCTGAGTAAAAAAAGTTTTCAGTGTGCTTTGTGGCTGTTCACACCTGTATTTAGTGCTATTTGAATTTAACCGGGACATCCAGTTTGGATGTTAGTGCCTGGGGTCAACAGTGTCAAAGTATTTAATTGGTAATCAGTTTATTTTTGTAGTAGTAAACACAAGTATTAAACTCATTATCACCACAGTATTCTCATGGTTTTCACTATACAAAATAAACTAATCAGTAATAGATTATGGAAAGAAAAAGTTATTTGTTAGTGATTGATTTAAATTACACTTTGTATTAAATGTCTTCCTGCTGTTACTGTTATGTGTGTGGCCTTCAGGAACCAGAATCTAGCTGAGGCTCTGGACTCTGGCAGCTCAGACATGGAGATGGAGAAGAGCATCGTCCAGGTCCAAGAACATTCAACTCGACATCGTGCCAAGATGTGGAAGGTGAGGAGAATCTTGGATCCTGTTGAACATGGCTTATGGCTGTACTTTTCAAAAGTGTCATTTAGGGCTGCAACTAACGATTATTTCAATAATCGATTCATCGGCCGATTATTTTTTTTGATTAATCGATGAATCGGCAAAAAAAAAGTTTTAATTTCCACCCCTTTATTCCAAAATTGAACATTTGACTGACATAGCAATTCACACAAAAAAACAGGTTGCTATTTGACTATTCTGTTAGTAAAATATTGAATAAAAAAAATAAAAGTTAGTCAAATAATTTAAAAAAACAAATGTACACAAAAATATATACAAATGTGTCTTTATATCTGCACAATATGTAGCTCCTTTGTAAAATGTGTCCTTGAGGGAAGAGTGTAACCTGGATTAAAAGTGTGGATTATTGTAACCTGGATTAAAAGTGTGGATTATTGTAACTTGGATTAAAAGTGTGGATTATTGTAACCTGGATTAAAAGTGTGGATTATTGTAGTGAAGCCTTTGTCTTCAACCATGGACAGAGGCCTCATGTCAGTGACGATCATGTTCAGGATGTTTCAGTGAAGACAGCTGCTGCTGTGGTGTCCATGATGTCTGTCCATCATGAAGGATGTTGGGATGTTGTTGTTTGTTGTTGTTTTCTGGAATGAGACAATAAATATGTTTTATATCATAATTTACAGCAACTCAAGACATGCCTTGTTTCACTTACAGTGTTAGGTTCAGGCAAAAGTAGCTAAAAGAGCAATTAACACTCACACACACACACACACGCACACACACACACACACACACA